GAGTTTCTCCTCAAATTCAGGCTCAATTCCTGAAAGCTTAAACTTCTTTGCAGCAGGAACCACCTACACAGAAATTGATAGACACCAAATTAGAATAAAATATAATGTAACAAAATGAAGAAGTTTACAAACAAAACTCACCGCAAGTCTTTCATCCCACAATTCCTCAGATGCATCAACTGTTTGCTTCACTGGATCTCAACCAATGCTGATAGAACCTTTTTTCAATTCTTTCCAAAATTTTTATTTCTTCTTCATTTGGTCCCACTTGTTCTTCATTTGCAACCTGTCATATTCTCTGCCTGTACATTCCTTAAAATTTTTTATAATATTTTGTCATATTTCTTTATTGAAATGGGTCGTTGGCCTATTTTCCCGTTCAATCTCTTTAAGATAAAGATTGCAAAATATAATTTTCGTATCTTTTTTCCACAATGCGGGTGTAACAACCTCTTTAGACTTACTATCCATGTTATTACTATAACAAAACAAAGTCATGAAACACAACAGTAAAATCAATTATAAAGTAGAATAAATTAAAGTTTAGGTGTTAGATATTTAGGGAATACACAGTTATTAAATAATACAGTACATATAATAAGCCTAACTCCTAAAGCAAAACAATATTTGCATATTATTTTGGAGGACTTACGAAAGAATTGAGTCGCATAAATGTAATGAAGTTAAATGTAGTGTTTGATATGTAAATATGTGAAATTAATTATGGTTTATATACATATCATACAATTTTTATATATACAACACACTAATGTACTCATTGAGTGGTAAATAAGAATAAACTGAATTTTGTATTACTTCCTACTGCCATTACCGAATTCCTGTATCTTAACTACATGATGAAGGTTTAACAATAAAATATATACACATCTTCATCGATCATGTAGGTCACAAAAGTTTGCAAAAAGATGCATGCATATATAAGAGCAGCCGAAGTTTCATAGTGTTAAATACGTAAATAAGGTCTACATAGAGATGACCAATTTAAAGTGCTAAAAATGTAATTATAAAAAAAGTGTTTTCAGCGTGACCATGCCACTATAATTGTCAAGTGTTTTAAGCCGTTAAAACTTTCAAGTTTTAGCAAACGAATACACCAAAACTTTTGAATTTTCACAAACAATTATATACAAATTTCAGGTTTTCACAAACCAAGACAATAGACATTTTAGATTTTTCAAAATGAGGCTTTCCAAACTTTCACAAGCTGCAATTATTTTCAAATTTCTCAGACAAAAAATGCATAACTTTCAGGTATTTGCCAAAACGAAGATTTTGAAACTTTGCATTTCTATAAACAAAGCTAAAGGTCATTTCATTTTTTTTTTTAATTGAAACCATCGTGATGAAACCTAAGCAAGCAACTGAATTCAGCATAGACTCATTTCAAGCCATATATCATTCAAGACAATAAAAAACTCCTGATCAAATTTCTTCAATGACTTCCCTATCTAACATTTGAAAATTTCCCTATCAAACTGAATTCAGCAAACACCCCAAGCAAAATGATAGATGTAGGCAAAATCATATCAAAAGTGGAAATTGCATAACAATAGCTCAAAATTTTGGTTTCTCCAATTAAAGTGAAAAAAAAATTGTTATGCGGAGAAGCCACTCAGGGAGCTTGTGAGGCACGGGGTCGACTAAGTAGAAGGAACGGGGTCGATGAAGATGATGAAGAAGAAGGCTCGGGACGGAACGCGATCGAGCGGTCGAAGAAGCAGAAGGCTCGGGACGAAGAAGAAGCGTGTTTCCTGTAGAGACGACAAGACGACGCGATTGCTAGGGCTGGTTCGATTCCTGGATTGCGACAAAGAAGGCGCGGGACGACAATGGAAGGATCGCTAGGGCTGGGTCAATTCCTGGACAACGAAAGAAAAATGCTAGGGGGACGGAACACTTATGACGCTTCTTTAGCGAGGGCAATTTCGAATATTAGGGAGGCGAAAGCTGGGGCCGCAGGGTCGATACTGCGACCCGCTTCACTCCTGCTTCGGAGTCGTTCGAGAGCGAAGCTGGGAACCAAACAGTAATTTATCGCGGTTATGGGCCACACCGCTTGAAAAAAGCGGTCCCAAACAGAGCCTAACATTTTATGCAGATGTTGTTAAACTCTCCTCCCTCCAAACATGACATTTGATATTGATTTATATATTTATGACCGACCATATATATGCAGAGCCTGACCGTATTTTTATTTTCTTGATATGTTGGTGACCTAGAAATACAGGTCTTTATTTATATTCAACGTGTTTTACTGCTTTACTTCTTGTTTGTATGCTAAGATTGTTTTTGCCTTTTTCCGCTTATGATTTTTTATAGAATCCAACATTATAATCTATGTTATTTAAGGACCCTAATTTTATAAAATTTTTATCAGATCCTCATAAAAAGATTCAAGATTAATCAAATTTTATGATTAAAATATTAAATTGTTTAAAAACTAAACTTTACTTTCCTATATGGCTTTTGACTCGGTTTTTAAATGGTTTGCACGCATGATTATATCTCAAGTCATTACTAATGAGACCTCTGCTTTTGATTGAGGTAGATAACTGCATCATGTTTGCATGTCCTGATGAGAAACTCCCAAGCTTCTTAAATCTGACTGACCCAACATATATTTCAACTTAGGTGGTTGTCTAGTGCGCTTAGGTTGTTAGAGGTTGTCACGACCTAGGCTAGGTGTAAGTCATTTATGGAGAATATTTTCAGTTTTGTAGTTGGACCTCTTATTTTTTTAATTTTATGAGACATCTTTGTAATCTATTTGGCAAGTTTGAGTCCCACCTGTTGACCTCTATCTTACAGTTATAGGATAAAATTTTCTTCCTTTGACTTTAGGGCTTGCTGAGGCCCTCATGCATGATGCAATTCATGGATTGTTGATCGATGATCTTTGGACATGTTGATCGACCACCTTTACGAGCAGATAGACTTAAGGTCCATTTGGGGCAACTTATTCCTAACTTCTGCGTTTTCAAAATGCGACCGATGCGTTTGATTACCTTGTTTGGCTGGCATATCGCGAAACACTTTTCTATTATATTAAACCTCAGTCACGATTCTACCCCGCGACCAAGCGTTTTTAGTTAAAACTTGCGCACCCCCCCTCCCCCCGCTCATGTCGTGCTCATCTTGAACCATGATGCTTGTAGAGGATGCTCTCCTCCCCCCCCCCCCCACCGCCCCCCCTTCTCCTCTTG